ATCGTGAAGCCAAAACCGGAAGTGATTGGTAGTGTAAAATAACAAACTACTATGTATACTGATAAGACTCTTGATGTGCACTTTCATGATAGCTAGAGACTATTACCATGTTTATTTAGAAGAATAATGTGTTGAAATTAAACCCAGTTTGGATAGGAAACATAAACCCTTAACTTCTAAATCTACGATTGTTTTTACTATATTCATATACAAATACTTTTCTATTTCAACAGGTACAATGTGCTTCTAGACTATTTCCAGAACCGGCAAGCAGCAGACACTGGCTTCTTTTATGCGGTCCAGATGTTGGATGGTAGAGCTAATCTTTTCTGGGCAGATGGACGGTCCAGATTCTCCTGCACCCAGTTTGGAGACGCTGTCGTGTTTGACACCACTTACAGGAGGGGTAGCCATTCTGTTCCGTTTGCCTCTTTCCTTGGGGTTAATCATCACAGGCAACCTGTACTCCTTGGATGTGCCTTGATTGCTGACGAATCTCCAGAGTCGTTCTCTTGGGTGCTCCAAACGTGGCAAAAGGCCATGTCTGGACGCCGTCCGGTGTCTATCATAGCTGACCAGGACTGGCCCATTCAACATTCCATAGCTCAGGTTTTTCCTGGGACACACCACAGGTTTTCAGCATGGCAATTTTTTTCAAAGGAACAAGAACACTTAGGTGCTTTACTCTCTCTGGACCCACACTTTAAGTTTGAGTATGAAACCTGCATTTACCAGAGCCATACGGCTCACGAGTTTGATGCAGCCTGGAACATTCTCATCAACAAATACAACCTGAAGGACAATGCTTGGTTGAATGATATGTCGAGGATGCGCAAGAGTTGGGTTCCTTTGTACATTAAAGCCACGTTCTTTGCTGGCATACCCGTGGGGGGTAGCCTGAATTCGTATTTTTGTTCTTATCTGTCACCCCAAACGCCTCCCAATGAATTCATTTCCTGTTATGAGAAAGCCATTGAGGAACGACGAGATGAAGAAAGGAGAGAGGATTTCGAGTCCTTGAATCTGGCAACGTCTATACACACAAAAGACCCCATTGAAGAGCAATGCTGGAGGCTATACACCACGGCAATCTTTAAAGTGTTTCAGAAAGAGCTCCTGGAGTGCTTTAGCTACGTGGGGTTGAAGATAAACGTCGAAGGTGCCATTACTAGGTACATGGTCCAGAGGTGTGGGCCCAGCTCAGATGATCGGAACACAGTTGCCTTCAACGCATTGAATCTCAATATAAGCTGCAGTTGCAAGATGTTTGAGTTTGAAGGGATACTGTGTAGGCACGCCTTGAAGGTTTTCCAGATAATGAACGTGAGAGAAGTCCCGTCGCGATATGTCTTGCACAGGTGGACAAAGAAGGCGAAACATGGTATCTTAAGGGATGTGGAATCCGTGGGTGGGTCCCAGCAAGATCTTAAAGCGCTGATGTTGTGGAGTCTGAGAGAAGAAGCCAATAAGTTCATCGAGACTGCGGCGACTAGTTTGGAGAGATACAAACTTGCTTTTGAGATCATGCAGGAGGGTAACAAAACCCTCAGATGGCCAAGCTAGGAAGGGAAGGATGTTTCCCATAGATCAGGTATATGTTCTTTTGTTTTTCTGTCTTTATATATATATATATATATATATATATATATATATATATATATATATATATATATATTGTAACTCTCTTGAAGAAACAACATGATCTTACTTTTTAAGTTTAAATGTCATTAATTAAATATGCTATGTTTTTTTCGTGTGCAAATTGTATATGCTGTGTGTTGCAAAAAAAAACCCTTTATGCAAACAAATTAAGATTGCTCTAGTGTGCGTGTCTTGTGTCTTTTGTAATTGAGATGTATTCCTTAAATAATCTTCTGTCAAAAATGCATATCAAATGATAGTTAAATGGAGGGCATTTGTGTATTTTCCATCATCTAAACTATGAATAAATCTTCAAAATGGCTTTTTCAAATTTCAAATTAAGTAGGTGGTTGCTTGAAAAACGGATCACTACAAGTAGGTCCATGGACTCCATTTCGGGGAAAGCATTCACTTGAAATTATCAGTTTAAAAAAATATTTAATTATAAAGGAGCGTTTCGAGAACATATTTTAAGTCTAGATGATAGAAAATATAAAGATAACCCTAATTTGACTAGCATTTAATAGACATTTTTGACGGATGATTATTTACGGTATAAATCTAAATTATAAAAAACCATGTTGGTAATTATTATTTATTGATGACTAATTTGAGAAAACACTTCATTAGAAAGATCGTTTTGAGAATTCAGTAAAAAAACTCAGTATATGACAAGTAGGGCCGGGGTCACGCGACAATATTATCAGATGTGCTACTATGTCCGCAAAGAACGACATGATGAGATTTTCATAATTAAGGCTTCGTTTGGTTGGAGTGAAAGAAAAGAAATTACTGAGTCAAAAAGAAAAGAAATTGTAATGAATGAAAGATGTGCCCACATGTTGAGACTAAGCAATAGAAATTTCGATATTCTTTGATTAATTGAAATTCTAAATACGTCACATTCCTATTTATAGGAGCGAGATTGAATTTCTGGCTAATCCTAGTAAATCTTAAATTCCTGTCATGTCGGTTCAATAAAAACATCGAGCTAAAAAACTGAAAAGAAATCTTTGAGACTTGAGTAGCTTATAATTTTGCTCAAATAACAAAAACTAGATTACATTAAATATTAAATACTCCCTCCGTCCTATAATGATCTTCCCAGAGCACTATTCCAAATTCACGGGAATTTATATTTATTTGTGTTTTTTCATGGCCTATATGATAAAATAAAATATTCTTGTCACCACTTGTTTTGTTGAATTTTTGGTGTAGTTTTTAAATATGTATGTTTTATTTTTTATTTCTATACCAATATTTAAATAAAATAGATTGAAAAAACTTGGGATTTTTCTTCGTTTTGCGAACCGGGAAGATCATTATAGGAGGGAGGGAGTAGTAAATACTACCTTCGTCCATGAGTATTTGTCTAGTTTTGATTTTTTTCGGTCAACTGTTTTCAACATTTGACCTATAATTAAATAAAATATATATTCTATATTAATTAGATAAAATAATATTTTGAAAATATTTGATATAATAAATCTAATAAAATTATTTGTATATCAATATCTAATACCATTTTTGTTTAATTTGAAATCAAAGTTTATCAATTTTGATCAGAAAAAATCAAAAGTAGACAAATACTTAGGGACGGAGAGAGTACTAACTAATGCGGAGTAAATAAGTAATTAAATAACCTAACCATCATTCGTATCACAAACTAATTTTATACTCCGTATATTTTTACTACTTAATTCATAAAATAATATAATATTGTCACCTCTTGTCTTATTGAATTTTTCATATAATTGTTTACTATATAATTTTTTTAATATAAAATTTTATACCTACAGTCATATAAATTAATCTAAAAATAAATTTGATCAAACCTCCTAACACATAATGAAAAGATGTATAAGAATGTACCAACTAATACCATGAGCAATTTCTTATTCACTTGTCAAGTGATGACATAGAAAGTAGTATACTCCTATCAAAATGTACACCTTTTTTTTTATAGCTCAAAACGTTTGTTAATGTATCCAAAAGATGTTTAAGTCTAAAAATAATTTTTTCATAAGCATGTTTAGTTAAATACATAAACGAATCCAATTTGAGAGTATTTTGAAGTAAAGTGCTACTCATTTTTGTACAAAATATAAGTGTTCATTTTTGGTAAAAGTATATTCATTTGAAATTATATGGTGTTCATTTGAATCAACATAGTACCGTTTTTGAAACAACGTAGTGTTCATTATTACACATTTGTTCATTACAATTATAATATTCATTTACAAATAACGTAGTGTTCATTCTAAAGCAACTTACAGTCATACCACCCCAATAAGTCGCTGAAGCCTCTGAAATCTGCAACCATTCCTTCGTCGCTCCATGTTGTCGAACCTGGGTTTCGACCCGACTTTCCCGACCAGTAATGCCGCCATCGCCTTCATCACTTCATTCTTGCTGCTAATTTCTGTCTCTTCCTCTCTTCTGTCTCTTCCGGCTCTTCGTAGCTAGAACTAATTTACACCGGCTATACGGGAAGAACGGTATAGCCGGAAGTACGATATAAATCGCCAGTTGAGGTAGGCTATCTAAGCATCTCTTTTCGAATTTTTCATTTGTTGAACTTCAAGTGCCAACTTACTTATTTTTTTTAGTCCATACGTCATAAAATGTTTGACACATTACGCAAAATGAAGTAATTTTTTTAAATCATTTTATTTTAAAATTGGTATAGAAATAAAGTATAATTTACATATTGAAAATTTACGTCAAAAATTCTTCATAACAAGACATAAGTATAATATTTTATTTAATCAAATAACCGATGAAAACATGCAAAGAAAGAAAGGTATACATTAAAAAAACTTCAATATTAAAATATAAAATATTACTCCCTCCGTCCTAAAATTAACTTCTCATTTGACTTTTCACGGTCTCCAATGCGACACTTTGACCATCAATATCTCAATTTTTATATAAATATATTTTATAAAAATTATATATTTCAAAACTATGTTTCAAAATAAATCTATTGCTAATAAATTTATATGAAAATTCAATATGTTTTTTACGTGATATACGGTCAAAGTTTAAAAAGTTTGACTACAAAAGTTAAACTGAAAAGTTAATTTTAGGACGGAAGGAGTATATTATTATACCAAATCTTACGTACAACTTTTTTTCTTTGTACGTAATTTTTTAAATTTATTTTATTTTTCGTAAAATTTTTTTTAAAACAATTGTTGAGAACAGTACATTTTATTTTATAAAATAATCAATAAAAACATATAAATAAAAAAATTTGCATAATTTTTTGTGTAATACTGAATGATTTGGTTGACGGGATGGAACCCTGCATTACGGAAATCTTTGAAACGACAACGAAGCATCAAATCCAAAGACAAAGAGAGAAAAAAGTTATACCCAACTCTCTGCCAATGGCGACCACTGAGACTCTGCCCTTCTGAGGAGGCCATGTTTTTGCGTGATAAAGAAAAAGGGGAAACGGAGAAAATGGGGTCAACACTCAAGCGATTCCCTTCACTTTTCTCTCCGTTTTTCTTCTTCAAACCCATCGGAGTCGCAGGCGGTCCCCATCAGCACAGGCGGTAGGCAATCTGGATCGGAGAAGAAGATCTGATGGAGCAATTCGTCAATAACATTATACGGCCGCCCAGGTACGAGAGGCGAAACCCTTTTCTACATTATCTTCACCCTCCCAGAAATCGCAGTCTTCGTGCATCCGTGTATATGTGTCTTAGCTTGTTTGTAGAGAGTTCAGATTTTTATAAAGTCTGAATCGTTTGGAAACGTGTGATTTTGAGCTTGATCATGGCTATATAGCTCTGGTTCTCCTCTTTGTGGAGCACTGTTAAAAAGCATTGGAGGTTTGTAATGGCTTGCTGAACTTCTCTGTTGTAGTTGGAGTGTAAGAGATTACTACCCACATTTGAGTCCAGTTCTAAAGCAAAATTTCTCAAGTTCAGCTGCTCTAGTAATCCATTTGATTTTGAATTTGATGGAAATGTGGGCATCCAGTTACTAGTCTTGTTTATGATGACTACAAGTCTAGAACAACTTGACACTTTCCTAAAATTAATTGAGTGTTTGCAGCTGGGATTTTTTGAAGCAGGCCTATACATTCTTTTTTTGGTGTCTATAGTTCAATCCGTATAATTTTACTGCATAAGTTTGATCTGGGAGTGAGGCTATCACATATGGAGTAGTAATTAGATGCTTGAAGGTTTCTATATGCATGGGTGGATCGTGTAGTCATAAAACACTTTTTCACTCTCCCTCTCCCTCTCCTTCTGTGTGTGTAGTTGGAAAGCCCAACTACTTCTCTTTTATGGAGTATTATATCTCATGTTGTTAGCATTGACATTCATTTTCCATATAAGTACAATTGGATTCCAACCCTACTTCTGTCAGATCACATATAAGTGTATAAAATGACTAGATTATTGATTCCATATTTTCCTCTGTTTTTTGCCATAATAAAGTTGATCTGGTATTGATGAGTTAACCTCTACTGGACTCCAGAGCTGAATATGATCCCACAAATGATTTACTAGATGAAAAGTTCATGCTTAAAGGAAAATGGTACCAACGCAAGGATTTGGAGGTACATTTCATTAACTGATTGCACAACTCTTCTATTATCAAGCTGAAAACTCATCATAATCCTAGAGTTTGTTTTGGAAAGTAATATTTCATCTGATTATGTACAATATCAACTCTTTTTAAATAGCCAATATGTTTAGGAATGGTAGATTATTATTGAAAAAACTTTTTCATCAAGTGTCTGTTGTTTTTCAGAAGTTGGAAATTTGTAGCTTAAGATTAATTTTCAACTTGATTTGGATATGTTTTTGACCCTGTGTCCTGTAGTTGTTGCTGTATCCTTTTATATCTGACTGACATCTGCAGCTTGGTGCTCCAAATTTCACTTATCAGCATTTAATTGAATACTATGACCATTTACAGGTCAAAAACACACGCGGTGATGTTCTTAAATGTAGCCATTACATGCCAATCAAATGCCCTGAAGGAAAGCAATTGCCATGCGTTGTATATTGTCATGGAAATAGGTATATGAAACCATGTAATTGAAAAAGTGATTAAGTTTTTGTGTGGAAACCACTGATCTATGGTTCAGACCGATGATTCAGGATAAGTGAAAATTGATCCGATCACTAATTCACTACCTTTGTGCTTGCCAATGTAGTGCGACTTATGAGTAATATCTTTTAGTGCTTTATTTTTTTTTTGAAAGTCTTTTAGTGCTTTATTAGTTGCTTTATGTTTGTATGAATGTTTTATGATTTAGTAAATGTTGAAAAAAACTTTATGGCTCATTTACCGATAAAAAATATGGTCCGTGTAAGTATCTTAAATCATCTATGTCTGATGATTTTTTTCATGAAAGTTGAGTTTTTTTTATGATGATAATGATAGTTGTAGTCTCGTCTCATTATTCCTTCTCTAGAAGACACAGTAAGGGCATCTGACCTAAAACTTTGCCACTATATACACTTATACAGTATTTTTAAAATGAATTTAGGCGCTGGGAATTTCATGCCACTGGCGGCAATGTAGTTGGGATTGAGGTGGTGATTTTGACCTGACCTCGAAAGAGACATTGTTTTCTATTGAATGGTTGATTTTTTTTTTTGGGGGGGGGTCATGGGAAGACATGATTGGTTTACAACGTAGAATGCCTGAAGATATTATAAGAGCGTCTCTGTCCCTAACTCCTTTGAGTTTTAGTGCATGTGTCCATTTAATACTTGATACTAACTACTTATTTGTTATGACCCTCTCCCAGTGGTTCTAGAGCTGATGCCAGTGAAGCCGCCATAATTTTATTGCCATCAAGCATTACTGTGTTCACTCTAGATTTTTCTGGATCTGGATTGTCTGGGGGAGACCATGTTACTTTGGGATGGAATGAAGTAAGTAGCTAAAGAACATGTTTGGCCTTTCATTTTCTTATCGACCTCTTGTCTTGAACAATAATAGACTCTAGAAATATGATTTCTTAGGCTGTTCCTGTAATGATTCGTAGTGATGTCTTTGTATAATTAATGAACTTCAAAGAACCTTATGCCAATGATTCTGTAGTTTTTGTGACGTTATTAGTTCTTACGCGAAGGGGTGCTAAGGGTCTGTTTGGATGTAGGGTTTTGGTGAGGAAGATATCTGAGATTTTACAAGATTTGAAAAATAAACTTAATATGTGATCATATAACTTTTCAATAAACTTTTTTTCAAAAAAAAAAAAACTATCAAGATATAAACATAGGCCTTTAAAACCCATCATCCAAACAGACCCTAAGTGACATACCCACATTTTGACCATTACTAGAAAATTTGATTGTTCACCAAGAAAGAATTCAAAGACAAAGATGAAAATATCAACCAAAATTATTTATGTGTCACTAGAATGAAATTAGCTGGGCATGACTAGATTGCCCATCTAATGCAGCATTGATCATTGTCAACTCAATGCAATTGTTTTTTGTTTTGCAGAAGGATGATCTTAAATCTGTAATTGAGTACTTAAGGCGTGATGGAAATGTATCCTTAATTGGTCTGTGGGGTCGATCAATGGGTGCTGTTACTTGGTATATATGCTTACGTTTTATTTTTCTTTTTTTGGAGTTCTTATTGCATACACGAGCTTTAAGCTTGCACAAATTGCTACATCCTGCTAATCAGTGGAAGAAACTTTTTAATGTATAAACAAGTCATGCACAATACTAATGCATGCATTGATAAATATAAAGCGACTAATCTTAGGCTCATCATTTTGTAGCCTAATGTATGGAGCTCAGGATCCATCTATTGCAGGGATAGTCTTGGACAGCCCTTTCTCCAACCTGGTTGATTTAATGATGGAAATTGCAGACGGTAACAGAGTACGGCTTCCCAAGTTTACCGTAAGCTGCTCCATTTCTACTATTTGCTTTGTCTATTCTGTAATAATTTCATTTTCTTCTCTGTAATTGAGTAAGGCTTCCCAAGTTCACTTTAAGCCCTTCCATTTCCTTAACCTCAGTTTGCTTCTCTTATTCTAGCTTAAGTTCGCAATCAAATACATGAGGAGATCAGTTCTTAAGAAGGCAAAATTTGACATAACAGAGTTGGACACACTCAAGGTACCCCCATGTAAAATGACTTCTTCAATTATGTATTTGTTTTATTGACTGAGTGGAATTTACCCAAAATGGGTGAAACTTTTCAGACCTAGGGTTTCTCTATTTGCCGAGACAAAGTTTTATAGGTTACGTAGTAACATTACTTGTATGGAGGTGACATTTGCTGGTTTCCTCTGAGCAGTCTTGACTTTTAAGTTGCTTGTAACGTAAGATTATTGATGTTTTTTTTGGATCAATGGGGGCGGGGCCATCCTTGAGCTATCGATTTATATTTTCATGTAACCCATATATTTTTTGTTTGGTGATAATGTTTGGGGTCTTAAAAAACTGTTGTGGAGCTTGCCTAAACTGTAAACTGACTTGCAAATAAGCTTTTATATTCACATTATTATTTGCTGTTCTATATAGCAAATTGGTCTTATGCTACTTTATCGGTCGGCTTGTCAGATCATTATTTCATTGGATACATTTACTTCGCTTGTTACACACTTACAGAGTAACATTTTAAGGAATCATTGGTCTTGGTGTAAAAAATTTATTGCTAATTTTATAATTTTAAATGATTTATTCCTTCAGTAGGATGATCCTATCAATTTCGTTTATGTAGGTAGCTCGGTGCTGCTGTGTTCCTATGTTGCTAGGTCATGCTGTTGATGACACTTTTATACAACCACATCACTCTGACCGCATATTTGATGCGTATATGGTACATGTGGATCAATTAGTTTAAGTTTAAAAGAAAATCGTAAATGTTTATATATTAATCATAGAATGATAGTACAGACTTCATATGTGCTAGCGTACATACTTCATAATATTAGCTGTAAGGGTATGTGTTATATTCGTAGTACTTCATGCTTACCTTTTGTTTAATTTGTTTTGACCACATAATCACAACATACGGCCCAAAATACTTTCTATATAGGATTAAACATGCTTTTGGTCCCTGTAAAATAGGCGGCTTTTGTTTTTAGTCCCTCTAAAACATTTTTTATTAAGTCATCCCTGTAAAATAATTTATTTCGCAAATAGTCCTTTCACTATTTATTTTAACTTTAGAGTTAATGTTGAATTTGTTTTTGTCACTAGAAAATTAGTGATTTGGTTTTTGGTCTCACTAAAATGTTTTAAATCCAAAGAGATTTTGTTTTTGGTCCTTTGAAACCCTAACAAATTAACTCTAAGTTGGTGGGAGGACCATTTGCAAAAACAAATATTTTACAGGGATGATTTGGTAAAAAATATTTCAGAGGGACTAAAAGCAAAAATCACTCATTTCACAGGGACCAAGAGCATACTGTATTTGTAGTCTTTTCCTGAGAATGAAGTCTTGTCGCTCTTGTGCATTACACATGTAGAAGAGAGCTCTGAATTGATAGGAGATAAGTATTACATGGGAGAGAAAATGGGAACATACTTAAAATGAGAAAGTTTGTTAAAAACTCAAAGAGGCCTTTAAGAGGCTCGTTGAAATATTTCCCCCCTTATCTTCTGTATGATTGCGGCATTGAGCACGGTTTCTATATTTCATCCACTTATTTGTTTTTTCAATCTTAACGGTAATGCTGACAGGGCAAGAAGAATATTATCAAATTTGAGGGTGACCACAACTCTCCGCGGCCTCTCTCTTACTTCGATTCTATAAGAATCTTCTTCAACAACATTTTACAACCTCCACATACCGATACATTTTTTGACATGTCACCTGATTATTTTTGCAAGGTAATAATCCGCAAATAGCTTGCACATCATTATGAGCAACCAAGCTTTATATATCCACTTTGCCAAAGGTGGTTTAAACTTTTTTAATTGAACAAATTTAAATTTTGCAGCAAGGTAACATAGATGATCATGCCCCCTTGCCTTCAAACCTGATCAGCTTTGAATTCTCTAATGGTGATCCCTATGGTCCAACTATGCCTTCTTTAATAGATGATGATGAGTATGTGGAATACCCTCTTGATAGCTTGACAGATGTAGCAAAGAGCATGGAGGAAGAAGATAAGGTGTGTATATATGTATTGTAATCTGCACTAACTAGGCTTTGTGGACGGGGTGGGGCAATTTTATTACTACCCATATATGTTTTTCCCGGATTAGGGGATGCCAATGCATTACTCCCTTCATCCTGAAAAGAAGAGCTGTTTGAGTAAAAAACTTTATATTCATAGTCAACCATACTTTACAAGTTATAAATGGTCACTAATACCCCTATCGTTTGGATTTCCGGACTAAAACAACTTGATGATTGTCTTTAGATGAATCTTACTTTAAAATGAAAGTCAACTTTTAAAACTAGACTCCATTTGGGACAAAAGTTCTTAAAATCAGACTCTTTTTTGGGTCGGGCGGAGTATTATACTACCATTTCTGATTGTTTTACTTCCACGTCTCATTATTTAGTCCTTGTATACATTGCTAATGTGAAGATTAGGAGGAACCTTGATTCTAAAACACTAATTTCTCCCTCCCTCCCTCCGTGCAGGCAATGATGCTGAGAGATGAGGGAGGGAGGGAGAGTTAGTTGTGTTCAAAATTTCTTCTACTCTCCACCACTGTATGATTTTTTCCCACCTTTCTGCCTTTTTAAGAGATTGTTTTTTTCTGAAAAAAAAAGATGTTTAAGGAAGCAGTAAAGAGCCCATTCAACAATTTGGGAACAAGACATTCTTGCATTGAGGAGCTTTCATCAAACAAGAAACAATTAGAACCACTCCCGGAGTCTTCTTCTTCTGCTGCTGCAAATCTCCCCATGTGCTCAAATGATCCTGCAACTCCAATAGTCACCGGTAACACAATCCTTCCTAACTCAATTCTATCAGCACCAGAACCAGAAACCAGTCGCCTGTTTTCCCCTCAAGCTAACACTTCAGTCGACCAACAGAGTCCGATTAGTTTTGACTCAACTGACTGCACGAAAGTCACCGTGACAGTCATAAAGAACCCAACTTCCAAAATATTAGATGGTTTGTTGTGTCGTTGGGATCTTAACTTTTCCAGAAATAGATAAATGGTCTTGAGAAACAGGCAATTGTTAAAAGATAGCATTGTATTGCTTACTTTCTAACTGATAAACCAAAAGATTATGCTTGTTTTGGAGCTGACGTCTTTGTTCATGATAGATTTTGGAGAAAGGGAGGTAATCTACTTGTGATTGTGTATTTTGGATGTGGACTGTATAAGATCCTTATCAGGAGATTTTTTTTGTTTTGCTGGAGAATGGTATGCTTCATTTGTTGTTAGTTGCAAAATTCACCATTTTTTACTGTGTAATATTGTAAGTTACTCTCTCTGTCTATCTTCTTGTGTGAAGTTGGGTGTTATAATATGACACTCCACTATTCGGGCATTTATGGTGATCGATTTTCCGTTCGATCCTATAATGGTTTCTATACCCTAACCCCCAACGTGCCTTTTGGCCCTCCTACCCTCGAACCTACATCCCTAGCCAAACACGTCTCATTATTCCTTTTACGAGAAGAACATTTAACATTGTCATTGTGCACTTTTCACTTAAATATGTTGTGATTGTGTGTGTTACAACAAATAAGAAGTGCCAAAACAGCAAGAGTATAGGCTTAATCAGAACCATTTACACTTGTTAAGGATGTTACATGATAAAAGAATGTTATTTGTGATCGTCTTCTCTCAGCAGCTCTAACGCAGTTTCAACCAAAGACCCCATCGTTGTGGTGTGTCGGTTCATGCCAACAGACCCAGAAAAAACATGAAAGCTCTCAATCTCCGACGTGGTCTCCGTGATGCACTCCATCTGGTTCTCCATTCCCAGGTTCCTCAAAACCTCAATGTTTGGTCTCTTGTCTCTCATCATCCAAATCGCCACCTCTATCGCAAACCTCCTGATTCTTGGAACCTTGATTGATGGCCATGGATGGCTCTCAAGGATTCGAATCAACTTTTCGGCGAGTTGGGTTTCTTCAATCCCTGCTCTTATGAACATGGCGCTTGATTCTTGAGGCTCCATGAACATGAACACATGTCCTGCTAGTCCAAGCATCACCTCCTGCAATTTGCTTTCTTCTGTCATGATTGCTTTCAGAATCTGCCATGGTGTAAATTGTCTCTTGTTATATAAGCTCCGGAGCTTTGGATTTGAGGGAGGGAGGGGGGAGGGGCCTTACAGTTGGTCCGGCGGCTGTGAGTCTCTGGAGCGGCGCAAAGCAATCGGAATCCTCGCTGCTGTAGGCACACAAGTTCCTCAAAACCCTAGCCGCGTTCACCCGGAGTGGCGGAGCAGCCAGAGCTCCGACGAGCCTTTCCGTCGCCCTTAACCTCAGAATCCGGCGGCAGTTCTTCTCGCTCTCAAGCGCCAACATCGCCAGCGCTTCTCCGGCGGCATTCCTCACGCGGATCCGGTCCTCGTCATCCCTCGTCAATCGCACGTCTCCGCCCTCGTCATCCTCCGCCGCCGCGGGTTTTAAGAAGATCCGGATCAGCTCCTTGAGAACTCCGCCGGTCCCACCGATCCTCTCCGACGCGTCCTCTTCAAGCGCGAGGCTCTTCAGGATGTCTATCCCCAGGAACTGCAGCGTCGAGTGTCTCCCGCCGTACTTGAGTATATCTCTGAGATTACTGACCGTGAAAACCACTTCCGAGATCTCGTTCCTCAGATCCTTCCCGGTGGCTCCCGTCGTGCTCGCCAGCATCTGGAGAACTTGCAGGGAGCGTTTCAGCGCCAGGATCTGCGTCGGCGTCGCCGATTCGTCCCTCAGCAGCCTCTCTCCCGCCTGCGCGAAGTCTATGATCTTCGGTAAGAGTCCTCTGGTGTTCGCAATTTTCCCGCAATTATCATGATCCCGAGCTAATTTCTTCAGAATCAGAAGCCCGAGATGGTTGAAAGTCCAATATCCGTAGTTCTCGCTGTGGAAGACGATTCTCTTCTCGGAAATCTCGTCGCGCGGCCCACCTGGCGGGTCGCGGATGATCTGCAGGAGGGAGGATATGGACTCCATGGCTCCTGGAATCCCGGCCACGCGAAGAGCGTTCTGTTTTTTTCCGGCGAGCTTTGACAAGATCTCGGCGGAGGAAAGCCTGATCTCTTCATCTTCCGGATTCTTCCAGTTCAACATCTCCACCAACCTCTCCATCACAGATATGTTCGTCCCGATCTTCTGGAGAGTGTCGTCCGAGAACCTAGGGCTGGTTGAGAATTTCTTCAAGATCTGAGCACCGGAGAGCTGTTCGTCCGGGAAGTTGGAACCCAACAGCTCCATTCCGAACGAAACCATATCCATCTTCAACCCATCGAACACGCTCCCGAACACGCACTTGGAGTATGCGTCGTAGAAGAATCGTTTCACGGAGACCTCGCCCGAAGGCCCGAATTCGCACTCCCTGTTCACTTCCTCTATCAGTTTGCGAATCGAAATCTTCCATTCGCAATAAGCTTTCTCCATGAGGAACAACAGAGCCTCTGCCAATGCCAAGGAATAGAATATGTTGAGAGCCGACTTCCGGTTCCGCCTGTCTGTGTCTCCCTTTGCCACCTCTCCGAAGTCCTGTCTGATCAGCTTAACCAGGGAGAGGACCAAACAGGTGGTTGCAGAAGCAATCTGGAGCCAATGTAAGATCTTCCCCATGTTTCTTGATATGAACAGCCATTGAGCATATGGAACAAGAGGAACCTCTGAGCTTGTCCATCTCCTGGTTGGCACCCTCTTCTCCTTATCCCACTCTTTGACCACCGGCAGGACCTTGTCGTGTTGACTGCTGGCGGCAGCGGCCCTTTTTATCACCCTGAAAGCCCGGGCTACGAAGTGGGACCCGGATTTCAGAGCACGGAAGCTGCTGAGCCCGACGTCCGTCAGAGACCACGTGGCCTGGTGTTGCCACTCGAGCTCGTGGCTCCTGCTGAAAATCCGGGTCCCTTCGATCAAAAGGATGATGGTTATGAACCAGAAATCGGTTTTGGCTAAGGTGATCGCAAAGCCTCCGAGGAGGACAACCGTGGCCCATATGAACCCCAGAGTCCCCAGCCCTGTGGCGGCTTTCTCCAACACCGCCAGCCTCAGCGCGAAGAGCGTCAGCTTCTTCTCCGGCGCCCTCACCGGATTCTCCGCGTTGATGACATTCTTCTCAATCTGGATGCCGACGTCCCCGCCTTCGCTTTCCAACGAATGCCGTCTATCCATTTCAAGGTCTGGCTAGAACTCTCTTGGATCAATTGGATTGAGATTTTGGTTGTGATGAAAGTGTTTGAGTAAAAAGGAGTTGATTGAGTTGTGAATGTTGGAAGTGTATGAAGTTTGTGGCTATGGTTTGGAGGTATATATACATACAGAGAAACAGAGAGATGGAGGGATGACAAAGGGTTGAAGGAGTGAGCTTGGAAAGCACGTTACAGTTGCGTCTCTTTCTGTCTGTTTTTCCTGGTAAAGTTTATACTTTTTGCAACAAATTATTTAAATATATTTTGTAATCCCCCATGATCAGTACTCCCTATTAATTAACATGATACGTTAGTATTAAGGAAATGATACACTAGTTTTGTTCCAAAATAAAAATAATGCTTCAACCTTTTCTTTTTAAAGTATGGTGTAGGCGGCTTACAAATTTTTTCTGTTTTAAACAAATTTTATTTACACATTTTTAAATTTGCATCATTTTTCTTGAACTTTGTAAAATCAAAACCATCAAGTTCTTTGTCAAATGGGGAGAGTAAAAACCTACAAGAAGGAATGGTTTTTTTCTAGCTTTTTCTAGGCTAAGTTATTTAAAGATACTTCAATTCCTAATTTAATTGTTCAAAAGCATTACTCTGTATTTTCATAAAGGGAAATGCTTGGTTCACAAACACAATCATCACAAACTTCACAAACTTACTATTTGCGAACTTCTATAAAAAAATTAAATAGTCTAATATAATTTTAGAATGAAAATTTAAAGCATAAATAGTAAGTTTGTGGAGTTTGTGACCAATCCTTTTTGTGAACGTAGCATTGTTCTTTCATAAATTTGTTAAGAAGTACTTTGTATTATCCAATAAATAAATGATGATGGCACACAATCCAAAAAACCATTATTTTGTCCATTCAATAATTCACTTTGGGGTCCGTTTGGTACACAGAATTGATGGAATTGGAATTGAATTTGAATTACAATTCCATGAGATTCAATTCCATAGAATTGAATTTACCAATTCCAATTCATTTTTTGCACTACCAATTCCAAATCCACATAATTTTTGTGTTACCAAACGCTAGAATTGGAATTGAAGTTCTCAATTCCAATTCCGTAATTTGAATTCCGTGTACCAAACGGAGCCTTAGTCGTTATTATTGGTCTGTTAAAACAATCTAAACTTGCTCTCGATGATGAGTCTGTGGCATTGATTGCCGTCTTCGTTTTTCCTGTTTTGCTTCCAATGCTCTATAGAGCCCTTAGGGCTTCTTCTCTTCACTTGATCATCAATTTGTTCTGATTGAAAAAAGTTATGATCTGGTTTGACTGTAGTTAAAACTAAAGTTGTTTATGATTTGAACTAACTTAGTCCGAATCAAATAAGAAGATAAGAATAAAATAAAGAGAACAAGCTCTTAGCGAAGTCCTTGGTTTGCTTTGACGAACCATCGCCGTTAGAGGCACCCGGTCCCTGATCCCTAAGTTGCGTGGGAGGGCAACTTTGGTACAACTTCGTTGGGACAAGCGAGACACTTATACACATCTCAAACCTTTGTTACTCTCTTCATTCCCGAATAAAGGTGTACTAAGACTTTCAAGATACATTAATGAATGTGGACATGATGTGTGTCCACGTTCATTCAAAATCTAATGTATCTAAAAAGTCATAATAGACACTTCGGAATTCCTTAATCCGGAGATGATCGGGCAGGTAAATTGATATGAGGTACGTTCACAATACCATAACTTATTCCCTTTTTATTGGGAGGAAAACAGTCATATATTATTACCCAGACAAAGTGGCTTCGTGCAAGAAAAGCTATAGGAAAAGTACCCCCCCATCTCTCATCAGGCCCCCATGAAATGGGATCAATTCTCCCTCCACGTGGCTGCTTAGTGGAAATTTGACTTGTGATGAGAATATATATATATATATATATATATATATATATATAAAGATTCTTCACCCTTTTCTTTGTCATGTAAATACGCACGCAATCTGTAATTTAACCCCATTAAAGAAAAAAATGGTGTCTCATTGATTAAATCCCACTTTTAATTTTAGTTATTCAGTAACTACGACTCCAAAAAAAACGTGTAATCCACATTATGAAAAATTGGAGGTATATTTATTATTGCAACCAATCATTCAAAAAAAGAAGAAAATATTAATTCCAATGGGAATTAATTAACGTGTTGAGTTGAGACTTCAAGCGACAATGACACTGATAGATGGATGGATGAATGGAATGGATGCCTTCACAAATACTCCCTTCGTCGTGGCATATAATACTTCCTCTGCTTTACAATTTTCAAGCTTTTTTTAAAAACGAAACACACATTTTCAAGCTTTTTTTTAAAATTTGTTTTATCAAAAAACTAGTAAAAAAATAAAAAAAAATGTATATACGTGTGTGTGTATGTAAACTATATCAAAAGTTTTACAAAACAAGAGACGATAAAAATGTTTTATTTTATCAAATAGTTAGTCAAGACGCACAAATAAATAAAAGTTTCTGCGATTTTTAAATAGTGAAGAGTATAATTCTTTTTGGAATGTAAAAAATATAATACTCTGTGTCATATATATGCATGTGCCCATGTATGCACCATCTTTTTTGTCCATATCTAACACTGTCTTATAATCATTTTTAATTAGTGTTTTACGTTTTATGTAAATATTATTATATTCTACCTCGAAATAATTGCTATTTACCCCAATTACTCCGGAGTAATTGGTGTAAATATTAATGTGCTCTCGGCCTCACACGGGCGAGACTCGTGGCCTAGACAAGTTGACTTGCCCGCTTGGCTCATGGGTCACTTATCGGGTCGGGTTCGGCCAGTTGGGCGCTTGTCACGGGCCTAGACGTGCATATTGGACTCACATTACTAATAATAATCACGAGGACTCGATATACCCATCGATAATTGATACTCGGTATTGATAAGTACGGAGTATAATATATTGTATGTGTAGACGCATTGCATGCACTCGTTTCACGCCATAAGTATTATTTAATCGTGTAAAATAATTTTCAAAATTTTATTTCACAAAGTTTATAAAATATTCAAAAAATGGAAGATGCGGGATAAAAATTTCATTTTAGGAGAGATGAGATTTTGAGCTATTTTATTTTATTTTTTTTAATAGGAAACAATGTTAACCTCTTTGAATAATTACAAACGGCAAATTTGTTAGGATGACGCAGGGGCGGGCGAGTTCGAAACGTATTACGCCAAAAAGTCTATTTAGACGTAAGATCAGGGGGCAAAATGGTAAATAGATTAGACAATGTGTGTAAATATGGCAAACTTGCCCATGCGTATAAGTTTTTTGTGATGAATGGTCTCCGAATTGCCCCCACTTTTTTCATTTTCCCTTTGAGTGCACGACATATATGACGTAATAATTTGAAACGACAACGTGCGATCGTTACCCCCCTCTTCCAATCTCCAACCAATTGCACTTAGTACCCCAAAAATGAAGTATCCTATTTGTACATCAGATAAACACAGACGCTTAATTTATGTGATTATAGACATTATCTGTTCCGTCTAGTGTATAATTTGGGTACTCCTTTTTGGTGTACCCTTAGCATGGTCCATTGTAACGAAAAACTAATAAATACTATTTTTAGACCATTTCTCTTCCACTGTTTTTTTATATGCGATTTTTATAGGAAAAATGAGAGAAAACAACAAGCTTATTCTCTTTATCCCTGTCCCTCGTGCACCCTCCCCGTCTTTGAACAATGTCTTCTATTAGACAATCAAGAAATAAAAAAATGGAAAGAAAAAACAAGAAGTGTTTGTTGGGACGGATGAAAAAAGAGACATCTCATGTTTTTAGGACCGGAGGTAGTATTTCCGAACGGCATTTTATCCGTGCCAAATAGTATAGGCACAAGAAATTTAAGACTATGTCCGCGCCAAAACCCGTGTTTTTTAGAAGTGTTGGACTATGGATCTCTTAGACAACAACTTCAACATTTTGAAAATATTATCTACTCCGTGATTATGAATCATAGGGAGGGCATATATGTCATTTGCTTCATTTAAAAAAATCAAATATAGAATTGTGAAGTTCTTTGTGAGGCATCCAATCTTTTTAAGACAAAGGGTGTATTTCATTCACTTCAAAATAGTTGAAACTTGCAAACAATATAAGGTTCACAGATGCAAATGCACAAATTAAATATCTAATATTGATCTTCCCTTCCAAAAAAAACATATCAAACCGATCTTTCGGTTTAAGCATTTCCATTAAAACAGCTCCGAGTTAAGATAGTTTGAACGTAATTTGTAAACGATGTCTCACCTTAAGCTTAAAATTTCATCTGAAAACCAATGACTCGAAATCTAAATCATATTAAGCATTAACCACAATTAGAGGATAAGATGCAATGAGGCTAGACAAGAAAGTGAGAGAACTTATAAGTCTTCAAAAGAACCAAAAACAATTTGGGAACTATTTCCTCCAAACAATGTTGGTGTTAGTGTTAGTGTAAGTGTTAGGTTGACACCGTAACCAAAATAGTTGCAGACGCCATTGCCTCAAATCCAAACACATCACATACACTAGCAAAACAAGAACAATAAAACACACAAAAGCAAGCTAAGTAAATGAAAGAAACATACTCTGCAAGACTTCAGATGGTTGCATTCCTCTGCAAGACTCTGGCTTTCTCTGCATCAATGATGGCCTCCACCAGCTTCACCGAACTGTCGAGCTCCCCTTCTCGGTTCACCACGACGTAATCAAACTTCTTGACATGCCTCACCTCCTCCCTCGCGGTCGCAATCCTCACCAGAAGAGTGTCCCTCGTCTCTGTCTTCCTCTCGATCAATCTCTTCACCAATGCCTCCTCGCTCTCTGCAACCAAGAACACGAATACTGCACTGTTCCCCAGGATCTTCCTCAGGGTTGCTGCCCCCTGTATGTCCACCCTCAACAAGATATCGCACCCTTTCCCCATGAATTCCCTTATCTGCTGCTTGGGAACCCCCTTGTAGTCTCCGTAAACCAGCGCGTACTCCAGAAGCTCGTCTCTTTCGATCATAGAGAGGAAGTCCTCTTTCGTCACGAAGCAGTAGTCTTTCCCCTCCACTTCCCCTGCTCGTTTTGGCCTGCTGGTGGCGGTGACAACGAAATGGATGTTGGGTTTCACTTCCCGGAGCCGTTTGATGACCGCGTCCTTTCCGACACCGCTGGGCCCGCTGATCACGATGATCAGAGGGTTAGGGTTTGGAGCTGTCGGAGAGGAGCTGAATGGAGACCCCAGCGCGGCCTCCAAAGCGCGGTAGACCTCCTTCTTGTTCGCCTTATCAGGGGAAGGAATATGAACCGCCTCCGGTCTTCTGGCGTGGCTCATCTGCGAGGTTGAAGAAATGAGGCGTCGAATCGCCGGAATCTGCGTCTGTAACCTGTGATTCAAGACTCTCGTCGCAGAGAGGGGCCTCGAGTTCCGACCCGAACACGGGAAAGGGTTTGTGAATTTCCGGCGAAGGAGAAGCGGGCTAGGGTTAGGGTTTGCTAGAATCGTGCAGAGCCTCCGATGTAACATCGGTATCTGCACCGCGGCGGGGTGAAAAAGGAGAAAGTAGAAACTCCGGTGACTAGTTTCCGGCTAAACGGGGGGTCGGAATTTGAAGAAAATGGAGCTGATTTCGCCGGCGATTCAATACAGACATAGTACATCCGATCAGAATCGGCATCATCATCATCATCTGGATTCTGGACGCGGGGCGGGTCATTACAAATTGGGCCTAAGAGCCCAATTATAGGATGATGATTCAAAGCCCAACTCAGTACTACATCCTTATGGTTCTCCCCTTTCTTTCATTTCCAAATTCCAATCTCAGGTATTTCATTTTCCCACACTCCATCTTCCAAATCCCATCAAACATTTCACACAGAAATCATGTCTTTTTTCAAACTAGTACATCACCGGTGTGATGCATGGAAAGAAAAAACTTATCTTGATGTAAAAAATTTGAAAAATATTGCAACTCGATATTATTTAATAAATAGTAGATATGTTCATCTTTCGTTTATATATCTTTGTATTCATTTAATATTAAATGAACCTACTAACATAAAGGGTGAGTTTTAGAGTATACTACATTTCAAACATAAACGTTAAATTTACAAATTGCCAATTTTATATATGAAACACTTATAAAAAGTACTCTGTAATGAACTAACCGTTTGTAATGTGTTGAATCTTAAAAAGTTAGATTTTATATATTTTTAAAGAAATGTTTTTTATACTTTTTTATAGAAAAAATGCCTGTTTATAAAAGAATTACACAAGTCTTGGTTATTAGACCAAAAATAATTTTTATACTTGAAAAGCCCTTTTTGTGCATAAAAGTGTTTAAATTTGCACAAGGGTGAGTGAGTTTAGGGTTGACTTTGGGTTGAGACTGGATCAAGCGGTTACCCAATTGGATAAACTTGGACCCAAAGTTTAATTTGGGCCCAAGTGAATAAAACACCGTTGGCCAGAAAGGGGTTCCGGTCAGGGAGAAACGCCCATCGCCGGCGAGTGGAGGTGCACGACCGTCAGAATCTGGGAGAGGGCGAAGTGCGCTACACGCAGAGCTGCATCAAACCTCCTGGAGGTTCACCATCGGACCTCGACAATCTCTATTTTTGTAGGTATAATTCCTAATCTGAAGTATTTAAGTATTGGTTGTTTCGATTTTGGGTTGAAGAAGTTCAATTTCATTTTCGTTTAGACTGATTTTGGAATTTCGAAAGTTTGATGTGTTGTTACAGTAGATCTGTCCAATTTCGAGAATTATTCACTGTGATTGTTTCAATGATTGGATTTTGGTTATCAGCTCTGAGAATACTTTCTGATTTGTGTTAAAAGGTGAATGATTACTTGGAACCCTGCTGCTTTAGTTTTCATAAGAATATGAGTGATTAGTGCTATTACTTGGTTTGATGTGTGGGTGTTTTTAATCTATAGGGCTACTCTACTGGGAAGATTCAGGGATTTAGGCTAACAAAATAAGTTTTAGTGGTGTGTGGTGTGTAAGACTGGAAGAGTATATATAGTTGGAAACCAATGCTACAATACATGGGAGTTTCCAGTCAGGAAATGACTGTTTTGGTCTCTACCACTTGTAATGGGTATGTCATGTGCTATAGGGACCATGCTCCATGCTTTGTCTTGTAATTAAGTGATTTCATCCTATTTTTGCAGCCATGCTACACTTTGTGTATGAAGGTGGAATAATTTCTTGACTTTAGAGGCTGTGATGATTGGTTTTATAAGTTCTCATATTCTGATTATTGAAATTAAGGAAATTGATACGTATATTGGCGTGGCTCCCGGGAGCAGCCATGGCGTTATCATAACCCTTTTCTAAAAATGATTACATAATTAGTGAATATCTGAGCCTCTTTATATTAGCTTCAAATGGTTATTTTCAAAGAATACAGAATGCTCTGATTCTGCCCTTTTAAAGATAGTTATAGTTGGTCCACTTAAGTGATTTCATCCTCTTTATAAGGCAATGGTATGCTTTGTGATGAAGCTGGGGTAACTGTAATAATTAAGAGGCTATGATGATTGTTTTTATATGTTTTCTCATATTTTGTTTTTTGAAACTAAGGAAATAAAACGTATCTTGGCGTGGCTACGGCCTAGCCAGAAGCAGCCATGGTGTTATCATAAACTATTTCCTTGTAATGAGTATATTAAAAGTAAAAATCTGAGCCTCTAATACCTCATTTCAAATGGGGGCAATGCCAGTTTCATTCTGCCGTGATGTTATGTAACTGGGGCAGTGTGTTAGGGGTGAACCGGGGGTCTTATCAAGTTGTTATTTTTGGAGATGGAACTGTGGAATAATGAAGGGGAAATGGGCTGGATGAAAATATGGGAATGTGAAGGAGTTCTTTTTGGGTTTTGATATTATGAAGAAGAGTGGAAAATCAGGGATGAAGGATGGGTTTAGAAAGGATGGGATAAATTCCAAATAAGGAATAAGAGATAAACACACTCTTATCTTAATTTGGAGCCGAATTAATACTAAAGGATAAGCTCACCTCTAGATTAACTTGGGGTTAAACTCTAGTATTTAATCAAGATATTACACACTCAATCAAATAACTAGAACCTAAAACTCACACTTAAGATAACCACTCTTAAGATATAGAATTAGGAATTTGGCTAAAATAGCATCACACTATTTTATGAATACTCAAAGAGTAAAAGGTTTTCAATAATTCAGAGATGTTCCTTACAAGGGCCAAATGGCCGAAATATATAAGGAGGGGAGAGGAGGGANGCAAAAATCACAAAGAATGAATGAAATCCTTTGATGATTGTGGTGGATATTCTAGCTAAAAAGAGGGGACAAACAAAGATGGGTGATGGATGGTGTATTGGCCTTATATGGTAAGAAATGACAAGGAAAGATCATGGGTGCAAGGATGTGAAATAAGTCAACAAAAGGACAAATTTTCACTATTCAACTTTATGACTTCTATCCTGATTGTGAGAAAGGTGATTTCCATTTGTTAATAGTTGAAAAAGGGGCCTGATTTATGGATAAAATGGAAGGGATTTTAGTCCCTAGTTGTAGGAAAAAAAAGAGGAAAGACATTATTTGGGTAAAAGGACTTTAAAAGAAACAAACAAAGGTTTTGGCTTTTATTTTCTCTCATTTTCGGCCAAGGGCTTTGAAATGAGTGGGGGAGGACTTTATTTGAATAAAAGAAAAGAAAGAAGACTTTTGGATATGTTGGGAGAGTTGGGATTTTGGTGGAGTCATCCAGGGGTACATCACAGTGGCAGTTCATTTCTTGGTACATTTGTGAACTACATTGGCTTGGTTTTATATAGTAAATGAGATGCCATTTACTGAAATTCCTACTGAGGGTATTTTTTTTGTCCAGAATTAATTGTATATGTTTTTGAAGTGAGAGTTAATATGTAGCTGCAGAGTGTACAAAGTATTATTAGCCATTGGATTAGGATGAGTTTTAAAGAAGAAAATTTAAGTTAAAAGCCTCTTTATAATACATCATTTGGTGTGGAATGAGGTATTATACTGGCTGCTCTAATTCTGGCAGTGATACATCATTTGCAGACATGGTATACTTGGTCTGTGAAGCCTGGGATAATTTGAAAAATAAAGAGGCCGTGATGATTGATTTTATATGTTTTAATTTATTTTGATTACCGAAATTAAGGAAGTAATACGTAACTTGGCGTGGTTATCTGCCCAGCTAGAAGCAGCCATGGCGTTAACTTATCTCCTTTATAGTAGATTTTTGAGCCTCTTTATAGTTGCTTTGAAATGGGCATTATCCAGGAATTTCATATTGCTCTTCTCAGCCTTGAAATGGCATTTGAAATGGCATTATCCTGAAATGTATACAAGCAAGTCCATGTGAGAAATCTGCAGATTCAAATAATATAAATTGGAGCACTCTAAGGTTCATTCTGGCGTGATGTTACAAATGGAGGCAGTGGCAGTTCAATTTTTAGTACATTTGTGAAGTACTTGCTTGGTTTTATACAGTAGATGAGATGCCATGTACTTAAATTTAGAATGTGAGTATATTTTTGTTTTGTCTTGAAGTGATTGTATATGTTTTTGGAGTAAGATTTAATGTGATGCTGCCACGTTTATGAATTTATTATTAGCCATTGGATCCAGAAATTTGGAGGGAAAATTGAGAATTGAAATTGCAACTGATTTCTCATCAGCTTTTTTATATATAGTAGATGTACAGAAATATGAAATGTTTTTTTTGAATAATTAAAGAATTCGTGTAATCTTTTTTTTTCAGTTGGGGCTGGGTTATTAGATTGTGCAATTAGGGTTTCAGTTTTCTAGAATTCAAGAAAAAGTGCAAAATTCTTGATTCACTGATCAAAAGTTGCCATCTTTCTGGCAATATGCGTGCCTTAATCATCAACTATTGTGTTTAAGAGGTCCAAATTGTGACATGTATTTGTGATTCTTGGGATGAATTTTCTTTCTTGGTTTTTAGAACTCATTGGCGCATATGATGTTAGGTGTAATGGGACTGGGAACTGTTCATCTTCTTCCTCAACTGGGTTTGAACCCGAAATTTGAATTTCCCAAAAATCGGACCAGACACTTGAGCATATCTCAAGTCCCTTCTTCTTCCTCTTCTTTGCAAGTTGTGTGTGGCTTGAGAAATAGGGCGAGAACGCCCTTGTGGAAGTCAAGGTTGTTGTCCACTGAGGCCATTCAAGCAGTTCAGTCTATGAAACTAGCAGCGGTGACACCTGATGCATTGGACCGCGTTTTCAAGACCCGAGTGAGCAGACTGTTGAAACGTGATCTGTTGGATGCCTTGGCTGAGTTGCAGAGGCAAAACGAAGTCGAATTAGCCGTCAAGGTATTATTATTATTGTTTTTATTAAAATTATGACACCCAAATTAAAGAATTATTGCCCAATTATTGGGATTTCTCTTTTACTCTGAGTCTGATGATTTTTCTTTAGCATTTCTTCAATCCCGCACGAAACTATGTCTGAAATGCCTTTAGGGTCTATATAGGTCTTCAATCAAGCTAGGAAAGAAGTCTGGTACACACCGGATCTTTGTATGTACAACGACATGTTAAGGATGTTGGGGAAGAACAAAGCGGTCGAAGCTGTGGAGATGATGTTTTGTGAACTGAGGAAAGACGGGTTAGAACCAGACACGCGGGCATACACTGAGCTGATGGGAGCTTACTTTAAGGTGGGTATGGTAGAAAAGGGAATAGAGACATATGAACTGTTGAAGGAATCGGGTTGTGTACCTGATAAGCTGGCATTGGCAATCATGCTGAGGAACCTTAAAGACACCAAACATGCAGACATTGTCAAAAGAGTGAAGAAAGATTGCCAACTTTACCTCGACGGCCCCGAGGAATTTCTCCAAGAAGTCGAAAGAAAATATGTGAGTGCTTATATATTCAATACTCGTTATATATTACTCCCTCCGTCCCCCTAAGATGTTCTCATTTTGACTTTTGGTGGTTTTTAAGGAGAGTTGAAAAAAGATGAAAGTTTACAATAATATCCTTAATGAAAAATGGGTGGAGTGTATTAAATGAGGTGGGTGCTGTGTAATAAATAAAGTAAGTAGGGGTAGTTGTGGTATTTTAATTGTTAAAAAATGAAATGAGAAGATCTATTGTGGACAAAGAAAAAGGGCTATTGGGAAGATCTATGGGAGACGGAGGGAGTATTTTATTTATAGAATTTGCTTCTCTACTCCAAGTAGGGATAATGTCTACGTACACACATCCTCCCTTGACCTTGCTTTTGTTGTTTTAGTTAATTTATGGAGCAAATATACATTTTTTTTCTATTTTCTATAATTAAATTTTTTTATTTTATTTGCAATTGCTCTTAGGGAAATGCTAGCATTTCCCTTAAACATGTATTAGGCCATGGGGGTCTTTTGACCCCAACTATGGTGTTAGAATATGACACAAAGTCTATTTGAGGGCTCTACGTTGCTCTGATCGATTCTGAAGTGGTTTCTGTCCCCCTATCTCACTCAGCCCCCAAAAATATATAGTTTTGACCGTGTATTGTCACCCACATGGGGTGAAGGGGGCAAACTAGGGGGTAGGACTCACTTCATGATTGAATGGAACATCACAGAACCCATCAAATGACCCAGTGTCATAGCATGACCCTGGCCCTTAGTGTCAAAAGAACCGGACTCTATATTACGGTGCTATGTTTAATACTTCCAACGATTTACCAATGTGTGAGTGTTAAGCGTGTTTTTCATTGTCATTGTGCAGCCAAAGCGTATGCCCCTTACCATTGTGTGAAGAAGACTTGTGTACATAGTTGGGGTTGGCTATGGAGTATCGTCACATTTTCGGCTGTTTTTCAATGTGTAAGAGATGTGAGTTGTTGCTGCATGAGAGATATATAGCATGGGAAAGGTTATCCAATTCAAGGCATAATATGCCCTTTTCTCCAATGGAAACTGCAACTATGTTATTAATAAATGTATAGTTTTCAAAGATGGAGTTGGGACTTTGAACAAAATTTTGTAAGACAGATATGTTTGAGAGTTTCTACCATGGTCAAGTGTTGTACTACCAATTGAGAGTTTCTACGTCTCCCCTCCACATTTGTTTGGTATCTGACCAATTCGACATGAAACCGTAACCCATATGGGTGAAAATGCACCCCTACACTTTCGTTACCATAATTTCACTATTTTCTTAATTTTACCCTCTGGGTCTTGGAATAGGGTTCCACATTTAAACAAACACAATTGTTAATAATGTAAAATTGTGTACTTTATATTAATGCAGAAAGAAAGGTAAAAAAAATAAACTCAATAATTTGTACGAGTAATTCATTCCGTGTGACAACTTTAACCAATACACTCCATTATAGCCCACAAGCATTTCCAACTAGAAACACTCGTTCACAATGCAACTCGAATTGATGACTTCCACCGCGTCAAGGTGGCATTCTACCGCTGATGTATATGATTATATCCCCATTGGGCACCACAAAAAGGATAATGAAACTAGCCAAGAAGCCAGATGCATTATAAACACAAACCCAAACTTGAAAGTTAATGAAAGAGAGCAAATTACTTTGAGAGGCAGACAAGAATTGACAGATGAAGAGACTAATTTAACTTACTTTTTAAAATTTGAATTGAATACCTACTGACTTTTAAAATCCAAAAAAAAAACTACAGAATTCAGATTGAATACACCCTCCTAAGAATCATAAAATAAATATATATATTCAAATGTCCAACTAACTATCAAGATTTATTGCCATGTAATTTTGACATGTATATATATATATATCCTTCAAGGAGAGGAAATGTTCATGAGAACGAGTATACACTGGGGTGTAGTTTTTTGAAGAAAGCCTTTGGATGTACCATTGGGTAAAGTTAGAAGACAGAAAAGCAGCAGCACTGTAAGAGGGAATGAGTCCTGAAATCACAAGGGCAACAGCAACTGCAGGCAGAAAAGATCTCAAAGATGCATCATCCATGGCAGCCTGCAACTAGAGATGGTCTCTACCATTAAGACCCACAATACTCCTACACACAAAGGGCATTAGTCGGTCACACAATGCTTCAATGCAATAAAATGTTAAAACTCTCTCCGTCCGAAATAAGAGTCATGTCCATATAAGGAACAAAACCCTTTAACTTTAGTCAACTCAATCAACTTACAAGCTTATACAAATTATGAACGGTCAGTCTTAGATATAAAACATGTTTTCAAGATTGTTTGCATTAATCGACTACTCCAATTGACCAAAGACATTTCAGAGTACTTCTTGGGTTACCCGCTGCTTACCAAATAGTTATAACTCAATCCTCCCAATATTAGAATATGGCAAGTGTTTAAGAACAAACAGCACACAAGTTCTTATCTAAAATCTAATAGACCAGTTCACAAACTGTGGGTTGATTACTTAAAGACAAGTAGTTTATTTTTTCATTTTCTAAAAGGAAATTGGGAGTAGTTTAAACTTTAAAGTTCTACTGTATAAATTAACCAAGGTTCACAATCCTGAAACAAGGACTGTGAAAGATAAACCAGCCATATTAGTTGATGACTTTGATGTCTAAGAACCAAACTGAAGTCCAAGCCAAGCATGCTTGAATTTTATTAATGTCAGGTGTAAGGAACGCAAGATAAATGTTCACAAAAATAGAGAGCTCTGATGTGTGTGTGCAGTTGTGAAATGTATAAAATCACATTATAACAGATAACCAATTCTAATACAATATTAAGTTGCTAATGCACCATTTGAAAAAAAATGACCAACTACAAGAAAGGCATCTTCATAGAGAGATTATTGTGGGCCCCATCCAGGTTCAACCAAAACTTTGGGGCAAAACTTCAATTGAGTAGAACCAAAGCTGATCAGCACATATTTATTTCTCATTAGACATTTTGAGGAATATTTGATCAGCGCATATTTATCTCTCATTGTACATTGACTGAAGAATAATCTTAGACAACATTCCTCACAAAAACAAATTTAAAAAATTAACACCATTTATAAATCAATTTAATAGAGTCAGGGTAGAGTTTCATACTCTTATATTATATTTTTTGAGATATAAACTAGATAAAAAATACTACAAGGACAAAGTCTCTAACTCAAAAAATTAAACAAATATGCCTTGAAAGTTCATCCTGGTTTGAATGTGTTTACTATTAAAAAGTGTACTGGGGTGCGGCGCCCTTACCAACCCTCCGGGCCGGTGGAAATCATGCGGGAATAGTTTGGTAACCGAATCAGCTACTTATCTTGCACTAAGCGCATGGATGAAGCCTTGGTCTTAGCCGAGGCTATAGATGAATCGATCAGTGGCAACTAAGGTACGAAATGAGTTGAACGTAGTTAGACGAATAGTGAAATCCAACCAAGAAAGACATGGGGTGCATCCTTCTTGGGTAGAGGAATTTACATTTTCATTGTATTTTATAAAACTGATATTCTGATAACCAACAGTTGAGAGTCACTCTTTCTTGATGGGAATTAGAAATGAATAATGAAAGGCCGGCTTTGGAAATACTAAGATTTTTTATAATTACAGCAAGCTTTCCTTCCATAGTCTATCGTTGATACTTGATTGATCAACTAGTTTGTCGGAGGTTATTGATTAGTGAAAAAAAGACTTGCTCTGAAGTATTATTTAAAAAATGACATTTTCAAATAGCTCTTGATCTAAAATAAGACCTGATAAGAGCTTGAATTCTTTTTTTCATTGATATCATGACCATATACCATAGTTATTAAAGGGGTACATGAATTTTGAAGAAAGCATGGGAAAAACAGTTGAATTTTTTCCTAGTCTTGAACACACATTTGACAAGTTACTTTGTTTGTGCTTCTGTATTTCAGGATTTTGAGCGAGGGGTCGCTTGGAAACAGTCTTTCTACCCCAAATAGGGGTAAGGCCTGCATACACACGCGGCACGCCCTCAATGAACCCTATGTTTTGTGTGATTTTCGTGGGTTTTGTTGTTGAAAAAAGCACATAACCTAAACATTACTTTTATCACAAACTTTAGAGACATCTTAATATAAAAAAATTATGGAGATAATTTTTCCCCATCTATCCACTAATAGAGTGAGTACATTTCAAGTCAATAAAAGTTAGTCATCTGTCCATAATAAACAGTTCTTGGGCTATTTCCTAACCAATTGCATTTTTCATTTCAAGATTTGTTTGATTCTCATCGAAAGAAAAAGAAATTCATCAAATTTTCATATTGCTAAACTCACTTTCCACGGCTGAAGAATGTAACCAATGCATTTTTTCATATAAACACTAATCAAGAAAAGATTAAGAGTAAAGAAGCATCAAGACTTCATCACAAGTGTTTCTTTGTGTTTCCAAATGCAGCAATCCATACAAAATATAAGAGCTCAAAATGCACCAATTTAATTTTAGTCTAAATAAATCATAAATTCATAACCACCAGATCATTTTCATATCACACGAAAAATTGAATATTTTTTTTCACTGGTTAAGCAAAAATGATTCACTTAAATATACTTTTATTAAAGCAGCACTCTTTTTTTAAGCAATCAGTGGCTCAGTGCCACAAATTTCATTCCAAGAGCGAAGAAAGAGTGCAAACGAGAACAGATAGGACTCACTTCTTGTGGCGACGGCCCCTTTTGGGACCCCAGCCTTCGAGTTTGGCAATGGGGCATCCACATTTAGCCCGGAAAAGTAGTACAGCCCGGCCATTGGGTGGGGCCATCTTCCTCAGCTCAGCACGAAGGCACTCGTAATCCAAGTTAGTTTCGCTGCCACCTTTCCACGGCAGCTCATTGATCTCCCTGACAGCCTTACTCTCATCCCCCAGTTTCAAACACTCCTCTTCCTGGACCTGCAAGTCAAACTCCATAGCTTTCCGGAGCCCCTTGCAGCCAGATTTGCCGCATTTCCTGGATCTGTTGCCGCAGCAGATCTGGTAAGCAGCAGCCACCGCAACGAAGATGGCGAAGAAGAAGGTGCATAGGACGTAATGGATTTGGACATCGAAGGAGCTGAGGTAGGAGAGCAGCGCGGAGACGGAGAAGGAGGGGGCGAGGAGGGAGAGGGAATGGAAGATGTAGGAGAAGTAGGAGGAGATCAGGAAGGCTCCGGAGAAGAGGACGAGAACGAGGATGAGAATGTCGAGCGTGGCGGAAGGAGAGTGCTTGCAGGGGTGGTGGGGGACCGCCGCGGCGGAGGAAGGGCAATTGTGTGAGGAGTTCACATTAGGGTTTGCGCGGACAGAGGGTGAGGGTTTTCTGAGGGGTTTAGAGAGAGAAATTGAAGAAGGTGCCATGGCTATGGAGGAGGAGAGGAGCGGATGGCGCATGTTAGTGAGGGAGTGGCGTTTGGTTCCCGGAGGAGGGCGGCGGTGGGTGGAGGAGGGTAATATGCGCTTCTCTTTCGCCGTGGTAAAGCATGTCCTATTCGAACTCGAATGGTGCGCACGTCAGCAGAACGGTAAAAATAAGGACTTCCACCCTGGCGCACTCTAACCCTCATCCGTTACGCTTTGGGGAACAAACTACAAAAAGGCAAAATAGACCATGCTTTCATTATTTCTTCTTTCTTCTAAAAAAATTGAAATCACACCAATACAAATTTTATTTTATTGAAAATTTGTTAAATCAAACCAAGAAAATTTTTTTGAGCCAAATAGAATAGATACAGAGTACTCTATAAATAAATAAATATTATATACTCTATAAAAAATAATTAATTTTGTCTCTGAAACGAATTATTTTCTATGGCGAGATAGGGGACTAATTAGCTAAATATTCATTGGATGTCATAGGATAGAACATACTCAACATAGAATGGCCATTTTGAAGAAGTTTGGGGACTAGGGTTCTCGAGTATTCATGCTTTTAATGTTGTCATCCTCGACAAACATTGGTGGCGGTTTTTTGCGAAGCCAATTGCTTTCGTTTCTCAGGTTTTCAACTTAAGGTGTTTTCCGAACTCGTTTCGTTTTTAGGCAAGTTTAGGAAGCTCACCGAGCTATCATTGGAGGAGTATTTTAGAGGCTCAAAAGTTACTTCATGGACCATGGTGGAGCTAGAAGGCAGATCAAGAATGGTTTGAATACGATGGTTAGGGAGTTAGGTTGGCTCGTTGATGGTGAAAATCGGTGTTTGATGACTCCAACACCGACCCAAGCGCCTAATCTTTGATTGGTGGATTTATTGGGTCCCTTTAATGGTACTTGAAGGATATATTTGCTCAATAAATGGGTGGATCCAAAAGATGTGTGTTGGATTCTCCGAGTGCCGATTGATATCCATTGGTCAAGACAACAAGATTGATTAAGAATGAGGGACAACATGTGAAGAGGCTCAGTTCATGTTGGTCGAACGCGACTTCATACTTAGAAGACGAGGCTATGAGTTTTAGATGTGTGTTGAAATTGGTAGATGATACGTTTGTCGCTGCGACAAATGAGAGTTTGCATTGTCCTCAAAATGTGTTGTTTATAGAGGCACCAACATTTAAGGAAGCTTAGACTTAGGTGTGTGCACAATGGATTCATGAAATGAAGCGTTTCTCTAACTATCATACTTTGACTCTTGTTATTTATTAGGATTATTGTTTTGACTGCTCGCCTTCCTTTGGTATGATTAGGCCTGTCAATGAGTCAGGTTCGGGTCGGTCCATAGTGTTCTATTTCCGTTTCTATTTTAAAAAAATTGTTTCTGACCCGTACACATTTACCCGACAGGTCTTGAAGTTTAATCCTATATTTGAATCCATTGGGTCTCGGTATCGGGTCGGGTATACCCATGATAAAAGTTGACGTCTTTTATTTTTTTATAATTGAAAAACAAATAGTGAAAATACTATGAATTAAAAAACACTTTAATTAAATATAAATAAAAATAAGACCAATACGTTAGTGCAACAAAAATCGGCCTTTTTACACCAAAAATCTACAACAAAAATTTTAGATTCATAATTGATCTTCTTGTCACATTCATTAATGTTGCAAGAATGTTCTTTTTAATATTACAACTAATTCCAAACTATTTAATTTATACTACTACATAGCATAAACCAACATGTACATGCCTCTAATGTGGTGAAATAAATCCAAATAGATTTGGAAGCCACACAACCAGCAAAGAAGATGAGTAATGAAGAAGAGAGATAGAATTTTGTACTCCCTCCGTCCCAAATTATAATGCTTGTTTACTATTCACAGGGTCAAACTTCATTCACTTCTTTCTCTATTTTTGTTAGCAATTTGATAAAATAAAATATTATTGTCACTACTAGTTTTGTAGATCTTTTGATGTAGTTTTTTAATATGTAATTTTTATTTTTTAATTCTATACCATTTGTCATATAAAATGGTTTGAAAATAATTTCAGTCAAACATCGTAAACCGAAACAGGCGTTATAAAATGGGACGGAGGTAGTAATATTTAATATTATGTACGTAATATATATATTTAACCGGTACGGGTTTTAAACGGGTCGGGACTACTCGTCCTATACCCAACCCTTTATTTTTTAAATATAACGGGTACGGGTTCGGGTACGGGCAAACGGTATTTTTTATACTCCTAAACCCGCTAAAAAAATTACGGGTATTATACGAGTTCAAGTCTATACCCAACCCATTGACAGGCCTATTCGGGTCTATACCCGACCCATTGACAGGCCTAGGTATGATTCATGCCTAAGGATTGTCTTGGTATTTTATCTGCACTCTATTTTGTGAAAATTTCTTAGTTCGTTGTAGTGAAAATGTTATACCTATGTAGGCGTGTTGTAATGCAGCCTGACTCCTCAGGGGGTTCGCCATCTGACTTTGTCAATTAAAAATCATAGCTCTTTCACTAACGAAATAAGGTCTTTATATAGTTGGACATGCACGACCCTAGAATCAGAGTGACCAAAAGAGTAATTTGGCGATGGATCATTATCAATATACATCGACTCGTTTTGTTTCAATTCAAGAACAGTTTAATTAATCAAAGAGCAAACACAAAGGCAAGAAAATATCGCTCTAATATTGAGAGTAGCTAATAAATATAGCGATCGATAATTCGCAATAGAATGACCTGTTCAATTACTCAACTTAAACCAATATTGCATATTAACTCTCGATTCGTTTGCTTCTTCGAATCAACAGCAGCCAGTCTGATTCCGAGAACATTCATGGGAACTAATCATAGCAAGAGCAATTCAATTGATCCACAAGCAATCACGTATTACAAATCACGTCACATGAAGAGAAAAATTACACAATCTTAAAAATACTACTCTGAATTACTCTCCATTCGGGGGGCTCTGTGTAGGTCCATGTTTTATTTAATTATGTTGACATTATTGCAACGCGCTGCGTCCTATAGAATCAGAAATACAAACATTTTTTGTTTTTGTTATAATAAAAAGAGACATTTTGCTCAATGGGGAACTCAATAAGTTCATGATATGGGTAAAGACGTTTAAGTCCAAACCCAACTCATGCCTTGAAACTCGGGACCAAGTTTGACGCCACGAATGAGACCAAGTTTGACACAGTCACACATAAACAAACATGTCAAACTTGGTGTCATGGGTGGTGTCACTTAAGCAAGACTCTTTACAAAAAAAACATATTAACAGCAGAAATGGATGGATGAGGCATCCATCATAATCATCCATTAATGACACGAGGAAGAAAAGGATTCAGTAGAATTCGCGATCGGGGAAGAGGATAGGGGCCACAAGGGACCAAATGTAGAGTGCGGCGGTTACCCATTCAGTGCAAATACGGACCCAAACTGAAGTCCAACCAACATCTATAAGTTGAGAGCTTTCAGAACTGCTTGTCCACCCGGACAGCAGCATGGCAGAATACATGCTGGCCAGAGTGAATATCAGATGGAAGAATGAATATGAGTAACTCACTGGTTGTGCTTCGCTTTCTCCTCTTGTAGCTTTAGTTCCACACTCCAGCTCTTCAGATCCGCCGAGAAGAGGCTTCTTATCTACTGTAGAAACCACATATTTCAGGATGCATAACCATTAAATCACTCGGGAAAAAAAGGATGAATATATTTTTCAGCATTGCGAATATATCGCTCTTTTTTAAAGTATATGCCACTGATTTTTTTTGTAATTCGGACATGTACCTGATCTGGGAGAAGATGGGGGTGAGAAAAAAGCAGTTGAAGAACCCGCACGGAGAGCAGAATACAGAACTGAGAGAACTGTGGTAAGCATCCCGAGAATGAGGGTACTGATAGTTACTGCTTTTGATTTGTTGGGAAGGCCATTGCACACATAATCCCGAGGTTCGCTAGAGAGCCCCGTATAGCACACATAAGCACAGTATATTGATATCACAGAGGCAGGCAACAAACTTCCATTTACCTGCTCATGACACAGATTAACCAACAAGGGAGAGGTCTGTTTAGTAATTTCATTAAGGAGCAGCATGCATAACTTGTGCTGCAATGAGATCCAATAAATAGAAAACAAATGATCCCATTTTTGCTGCTTTAATCCTTCCCAAACCACACACACACATATACAGCATCTCTTCATAAAACAAAAGACTAAAGTGGGTGTTAAGGAACCAACTCAACCAAAAGCTCAAGCTATGGTTGAAGACCCATGAATGTTTTTATATTCTAACACGCCACCTCACGTGCAGACTAGATTTGCTTAATCAAGCCTTGCATGTGAATATTAATTTTTTTGGAAGTAGATGGCGGTGAGATTCAAACTCTTTCCCATTTTAGATCTAAACAAGTTGAGGAATTATTTGTAAGCATTTCTAAAACACTAGTACTAGTTCTTATCAAACTAGTACTACTTGATTCTGGTATTTTCACAATGCCAATAAAATAAACTCGCATCAAGTATGAGTTGGTGGTGATCATGATAAGAAACCAACTCAGCAAAAAACTCAAGCTTGTGGTTGAAGACCCAGAAATGTTTTTATACTCTAACAGTGTACATATGGGTGGTGATGTTGGAAAGAGTGACTTTCGAGAAGTTGAGGGTACTAAGAGCCTGTTCTTTAGGGCTTGAACTCTTAACTTCCAGTTCCTTCAAGTTTCTTCCAATTCCTTTCAGTTCCTTCCAACTATTCTCATTTTCTATCCAACTCTTTCTACTCTCCAAGGAATTACTCTAATAATGATATATTTTTAATGTGATTATTATTATTATTATCACCAAGGTTCGGGCAATGTCATGGGATGACCCGGGGCCGCTCCGGTGCCCCGTTCGTAAAATTGACGGTTCCTACCCCCCTAACCCCCTGGTAAATCCCCCGCCCCGACCCGAACACACCCCCCTACCCCCGTCAATTGCACCCCACAAGTTGATTTTGACTTTGGAGTCAAATTGACGGGGGTAGGGGGGTGTGTTCGGGTCGAGGCGGGGTGGAGGGTTTACCAGGGGGGTAGGAACCGTC